CCCCTGAGAAATCTATATGTGGGACAGGAAGCAAGAGTTAGAACTGGATATGGAATAAGTGATTGGTTCAAAATTGGGAAAGGAGTATGACAAGGCTGTATATTGTCCCCCTCCTTATTTAACTTATATGCAGAATACAGTGGTTCCCTGTTTGACTACAGTAATCCGTTCCAGGAAAATCGCTGTTAAGCAAAATCGTCATCAAGCGGAAAAAAAACATTGGAATGTATTGAAAACCGGTTAATGCATTCCAGTGGGGTCAATACCTGATCGTCCAGCGAAAATGCTCCATAGGGCGGCCATTTTACTATCTCTGTGTTGCGAAAACAGGTCCGGAAACAACGAGGAGACATTTTGCGAACCACCGATCAGCTGTTTTTAATCGTCATCCAGCAAAAAAAAAAATGGTTCCCGAAGCAGGGAAACATCACTATAGCGATCGCAAAAAAGTCATCATAAAGTGATTCCGTTGTCTAATGGGGTCGTCAAGTGGGGCACCACTGTACATCATGTGAAAGGCAGGACTGGAATTAAGATTGCTGGAAGAAATATCACCAACATCAGATATGCAGATGATACCACTCTGATGGCAGAAAGTGAGGAGGAATTAAAGAACCTCTTAATGAGGGTGAAAGAGGAGAGCGCAAAAAATGGTCTGAAGTTCAACATCAAAGAAGCTAAGATTATGGCCACCGGCCCCATCACCTCCTGGCAAATAGAAGGGGAAGATATGGAGGCAGTGACAGATTTTACTCTCTTGGGCTCCATGATAAGTGCAGATGGTGACAGCAGCCACAGAATTAAAAGACACCTGCTTCTTGGGAGGAAAGCGATGACAAACCTAGACAGCATCTTAAAAAGCAGAGGCATCCCCTTGCCAACAAAGATCCGCATAGTCCGGATTTTTGTCGGCAAGGTGACAAAATGGTTTTTCCAGTAGTGATGTATGCAAATGAGAGCTTGACCATAAAGAAGGCTGACCGCCAAAGAATAGATGCTTTTGAATTGTGGTGGTAGAGTAGTCTCTTGAGAGTCCCCTGGACTACAAAGAGAACAAACCTATCCATTTTGAAGGAAATCAACCCTGAGTGCTCACTGGAAGGACAGATCCAGAAGCTGAGGATCCAATACTTTGGCCATCTCATGAGAAGAGAAGACTCCCTGGAATAGACCCTGATGTTAGGAAAGTGTGAAGGCAGGAGTAGAAGGGGACGACAGAGGATGAGATGGTTGGACAGTGTCATCAAAGCTGCCAACATGAATTTGACCCAACTCCGGAAGGCAGTGGAAGACAGGAAGGCCTAGAATGCTCTGGTCCATGGGGTCATGAAGAGGCGGACATGACTTAACGACTAAACAACAACAAAAATCAGTGTCTTTCCAGAAAGTTGTCTTTCTGTGACTGTTTTTTAAGTGTATGGTCATTGCTGCAGTATCCTTCACGAGTAGTGAATGCACAGATTTTAAATTGTTGCATTTTATGATCTGTTGAATTAGGTGGAGATGGAAGATTTTGATGCAAACATTGAAGACCAGAAAGAAGAAAAAAAAGATGCTGAGGAAGAAGAGAGTGAACTGGTAGGAAACACATTAGCCAGCCCTGACAACAAATGTCTTTGCCTAACAGGAATTATGTCTGCTTTAAAATACAACAGTGTCATCTCAATGTATTCCCCCCCTTAACTGCTGCCATTTCCACTAGTATAAGAACATGGGATGCAGAAATGGATGATTATCTGCCTGCTTTAAAATACAACATTGTCACCTCAATCAGTTGCCTTGTATCCCCCCCCTTAACTGCTGCCATTTCCACTAGTATAAGAACATGGGATGCAGAAATGGATGATTATGCATTTCTAAGCAATTTTAAGAAGTCTTCCATACTAGTGTCCTGATTTGAGACTGTAAATGCTAGCAGTTCAGGAGATCAGTTAAGGCACTGGTTCTTAACCTTGGGTTACTCAGGAGTTTTGGACTGCAACTCCCAGAAGCCTTCACCACCAACTGGGGTTTCTGGGAGTTGCAGTTCAAAAACATCCGAGTAACAAAGGTTAAGAATCACTGAGTTAAGGGACTAAGGGCAGTCTCAATCAGTGCACAGAGGAAGCATTGGAAGAGTCCTGAGAAGAGACAGAGAATAGTCACAGTCCAAAGCCAGGGTCAGCCCATTAATCAGTAACATACCTAACACACCAAGTCAACATTTCAACAAAACAGCAGCCAGAAACAGAGTTAGTGAACAGCCCATGTTAGATCAGCAGGGGGAGACAAAGAGTTCTGAAGACTGGGAACAGGAATGAAAAGCAGTCGAGATACAAATATCAGTTTCAGCACCTATTTATATGGTGTTGGGGTGGGCAGCTCCCCTCTACAACTACTCAGTTCTTTGCTACAGCTTGTCTGGTCTAGTGAATAGAGTGATGGACTACGACTCAGGAGACCTGGGTTCAAATTCCTGCAATGTCATGGAAACTTACTGAGGGGGTGGTATTGGTAAAAGCCATCCCTTAAATGACTCATTTACTTTGAAAGGTGTGTTGAGGTCACTGTCAGTCTATTCCTTGTTGACAGCATACGCTGGCTATCATTGACGGAGATGAGCATTTTGCCTCAGCTGTGCTCTACTTCCTTGCATGTTAAGATGCTGATATTCTTTGGGACTTGTGGGAGTCTTTTTCTATTTGGAACCACCACCCCCCAATCATCTGGAGGGGAGAGGCCCCTTCTGGAAGGGTCAAGTGGTATATTGTATCTCTGGAAGAGAAGATTGCAAACTGGGACCTCAAGGCCCTCTATTACCAACACTACCTCCTGCTGAGGTGTGTCATCCTGGCCTTTATTCTCCAAGCAACACTCTGCCAGATACAGCATGACAAGTAGTACCATTCTGCTTGATGTTCTAGTTTGTACATTTTTTACTAAAAATTATAATCTAAGCAGAGCTGGTGGTATTGCCTGGAAACTGCAGCTAAATGCCTTGGAAGAGATCAGGTTGAACTGTTTTCATGTATGGTAGAGAGTTTTTGTTTTAATTATTGAATGCAGCTAACTTGTTCCATTTTGCAGTTTTCATAAGAACTGTTCTCAATTAAGCTTTTCTTGATAGGTATAAATACTTATTTCTGCACAATCTTACCCCACAGTCTTTAATGATGAGTGAGTAGCACCTTATCCAGTGGGACTTTGTCACAGGAATGTGTGCCTGGAATTTATTTAATTAATTATTTAATTTATTTAAAATATTTTACTCTGCCTTTCTCCTTAAAAAAGGACCCAAGATGACTTACATCATAAAATCACAATGTTATCTTCACTGTAATTACATGCTTTAGCAGGGAACTGTGACCTTGATGTTTTGTAGTCTTTCTCTTGAAGGGATGGATGTAAAAGGTACAATGGGTTCAGATACACCAATACCCTGCTTATTCTCAGACGATCATACAACTCTTTCATATTTCTGTGGACCTTCAGTAGAGAAGGGCAAACAAGTTCCACAGGCTTGCCCTCTTTACTCTCTTGGGCACCCAGTCTAGCATGAAGAGAATTTTAGGAATGGCACCTATTTAGGCAAAAAACATATTTTCTGCTTTGGGAAAGAAACATGATATGCCACAGGTGCCCCAGGGCAGTTAGAGATCAACTGGACTCCATATGCAGAAAGTATTTCCAAATATACTTTAAGTAGTACACATATCATTCCAGTTCAAGTGCCTGGTTATCTGCTTAGATTAGGGCTGGGGCTCCCTGCATTCTAGTTCCAAAGATGTAAAGTTTTCTTTCAGATACTGTATGTTCATTGGAAGTTGTATGTGGGGAGTATCTAGTGCTTTCATTTCATCTCTTCATTATCTAAGGTAGAGGAATGAAATGTTATGAGAAGGGGTGGGTGGGAGTTCACATACTGACTGGTCACAAGTGCTTGTGGAAGAAATTGAAAAAATATATCTATTCATGGCTGTTGTGGGTTTTTTGGGCTCTTTGGCCGTGTTCTTCCTAACGTTTCGCCAGTCTCTGTGGCCGGCATCTTCAGAGGACAGCACTGTCCTCTGAAGCACAGAGTGCTGTCCTCTGAAGATGCCGGCCACAGAGACTGGCGAAACGTTAGGAAGAACACGGCCAAAGAGCCCAAAAAACCCACAACAGCCATGAATAGATATATTTTTTCAATTTCTTCCACAAGCACTTGTGACCAGTCAGTATGTGAACTCCCACCCACCCCTTCTCATAACATTTCATTCCTCTACCTTAGATAATGAAGAGATGAAATGAAAGCACTAGATACTCCCCACATACAACTTCCAATGAACATACAGTATCTGAAAGAAAACTTTACATCTTTGGAACTAGAATGCAGGGAGCCCCAGCCCTAATCTAAGCAGATAACCAGGCACTTGAACTGGAATGATATGTGTACTACTTAAAGTATATTTGGAAATACTTTCTGCATATGGAGTCCAGTTGATCTCTAACTGCCCTGGGGCACCTGTGGCATATCATGTTTCTTTCCCAAAGCAGAAAATATGTTTTTTGCCTAAATAGGTGCCATTCCTAAAATTCTCTTCATGCTAGACTGGGTGCCCAAGAGAGTAAAGAGGGCAAGCCTGTGGAACTTGTTTGCCCTTCTCTACTGAAGGTCCACAGAAATATGAAAGAGTTGTATGATCGTCTGAGAATAAGCAGGGTATTGGTGTATCTGAACCCATTGTACCTTTTACATCCATCCCTTCAAGAGAAAGACTACAAAACATCAAGGTCACAGTTCCCTGCTAAAGCATGCAATTACAGTGAAGATAACATTGTGATTTTATGATGTAAGTCATCTTGGGTCCTTTTTTAAGGAGAAAGGCAGAGTAAAATATTTTAAATAAATTAAATAATTAATTAAATAAATTCCAGGCACATATTCCTGTGACAAAGTCCCACTGGATAAGGTGCTACTCACTCATCATTAAAGACTGTGGGGTAAGATTGTGCAGAAATAAGTATTTATACCTATCAAGAAAAGCTTAATTGAGAACAGTTCTTATGAAAACTGCAAAATGGAACAAGTTAGCTGCATTCAATAATTAAAACAAAAACTCTCTACCATACATGAAAACAGTTCAACCTGATCTCTTCCAAGGCATTTAGCTGCAGTTTCCAGGCAATACCACCAGCTTAAAAAATTAGATATCAGCGGTCAGAGACTTTGTTAGATAAAGAATGGCAGTTATTATGCAAATGACAATATTGACAGGATTTAAGCAGGTAAATGAGCGTCTCAACCAGATCGAAGATTTAGTGGAAGATTTAATGGAAGAGAAAACATCAGATGTTAAACTACGGCTAAAGGGAACTCCAGAACTGTGTGTATTGAGTGCGATGCCAGGCAATATAAAGGGGATTAAGTGTTACCCAGTAAACTACGTAGCTACAACAGTCAGAAAATCTGAGGTTAAAAATCGGATTACTGTTCTGGATCTGTTGAAACAAAAGAAGCATATTGAGAAAATAGGGGAAGTGATTGAAATCTATACTCTTTCAGGCCTGCTGAATGTATGTCTAAGACAAAAGGAAATTGAAAGAGGGGATGTATTTTACAATTGGTTCTCAGTTTCCTGATAGTGTTGGAATAACTTAGATTCAAATCATAACATAATTGCAAGTTGAAAGCTAGGGGGTAATCAAACAGTTAAAAAGAAGAAGTAGAAAGTTGAGCTTTTATTGGAAAATGAATAGATTACAAGCTTTTATACTTAAAATGAAAAGATTGGATGATTATGTACTTTGTGTTCTCTTATTCTCAAAACCCTTTTTTCCTTCCCTTCCACTTCCTTTTACCTTCCGTATTCCCTACCCCATCCTTAATCGTTTTTTTAAAAAAAGAACATGGCCAAAGAGCCCGAAAAACCCACAACAACAATTAGATCCTGGCTGTGAAAGCCTTCATGAATATATATCTATTCAGTTTTATTCCTGCTCCCTGGGAGTGAGTGCTGTAATCGGAAGAAACATATTGCTTCAGTTTTTGAATCCTGATCCAGCCACTACACCATTCCTAGGGGAAGAGTCAAATAGATCCTGAAGGAAGAGAGAAAATGAAGGTGGTTCTTCCTCTTACTCCAGTGAGTAAACCGCATGTCTTCACAGCCTGATGGAGCCTACAGATCCAGGTCTTCTCAGCTAAGAAGCTGCCATCAAGGCATGTTGACAAATCCATTTGTCTAGTCAAGGCAAGAATAAATCCAAGGAGAAAGGAGGTAACTGCTCGGTACAAAGTCATCTCTCTCAGTGAAGAATGTTGTGTCTGTAGCTGCTCCACCATATATGGAAGTCTGCAATTTCCAGCAAATATTCTTGAAGACAGAGCAGTTGGCTAGAGCATTGGATCCACCCACTGTGCCATGTATCCTGTTGGTTTCAATGGATGAAAAAAAATCATCTGAAAATTCCTGATGTTATTTCTGCTACATTATCCATTTCTTGTGCATAAGAGATACATTCATGAGCACTAGAAAATGTTCTTTGGATCTCATGATTTCTGAATCACTTTAAAAATAATTATGATCTGAGGTGTCTGAACAGGATGTGACAATATTTGGGTCCTATTAATTTACCCATGGTTCCGGATACCTGGAAAAACTTACCTCCGGAGATTCGCGCGGCTCCCTCACTGGGTAGTTTTAAGAAACAACTGAAAACATGGATGTTTAGGCAGGCCTTCCCCCCTCCCAGTTAATTCTTAATTTTTCTTCCCTCTTATTTGTTATATCTTATCTTGTTCTCTTGCCATCTTGGAGAAAAAAAATTATTTCTTTTTTCTAATTACGTTAATTATGTTATATATATGTTTGTTTTATATATTATGTTATATGTTATGTTGTAAGCCACCTAGAGTGTTCGCGATGAACAGTTAGGCGGGGTATAAATGAAATAAATAAATTAATTAAATAATAAATAAATAAATAATTGGAAGAATTGGACATGATTAGCCTTGAGAAAAGAAGACTGGGAGGAGATCTGATAGTACTTTTCAAATACTGTACTTGAAAAATTATCCTACAGAGGGGAAGGATCACACAATAATGGGCTCAAGTTACAAGAAGCCAGATTTGGTTGAATATCAAGAAAAACTTCCTATTAGAGCAATACAGTAATGGAACCAATTACCTCAGGAAGCAATGAGCACTCCAGTGTTGGAGGCATTCAAGGGAAAATTAGACAGCCATCTGCTTTGGATAAACTGACCTGATTTGATTTGGATTCCTGCATTGAGCAGACAGTTGGATATGATGGCCTTATAGGCCCCTTCCAGTTTCCATCATTCTGTGAATCATGAAGTCAGCAGTCAAGGAGAATATGATCTAATACAAGTCATGTCAGAAATAACTGTTGTCTTCTCTGCCGGAGAAAGAAATTGTTCTAGTCAACACAATTTTTACTCAAGATACCGGACTAGCAAATGGATGCTACAGATGTTTTAGTGAAATGGCTCTTTAGAATTCTTTTTTAAGTCATTCCCTTTGGGGAAAATAAGTTGAAGAACCTGGTACTCATATAACAGTAATGAAGATTAACCTAAAGGGAGATAATCCAACATCTCAGAAGAATGAAATTGGTGACATATGGATATACTTCAGCTTTCATAAAATGAAGATGTTTCAACTAATTTACGTGGGTTTTGATTAGGATGTTATGGAATGCTGTGGGAATATTGTGACAACTCATTCATCATACTTCCTCTACATGCAGTGTTTTGGAATTCTGGTTCTGCCTGCTACTAGAAATACACTGCCATTGATAACTTTGTTATAAGGCATAGTTACTGGGCTTCTCCATCTTTCTGAGAAGATTAATTCTGCTTTATAAGTCAGCACCTTTGCACCATAGTGGCTGAGATTGAGCCCTGGATGTTAGAGTAAATTGAAGATGAATTACATAAAAAACCAGTAACTTAAGCCTTGCAAGCCAACAGTGTAAAAATAAAATAAATACAGAACTCAAGCAAATTTTTTATGGAAGGATGCTCCAAGTTGTCTATGGCTGTAGACTCATTCCTGCCATTATGCAGCATTATGATTACCCTTTTCTGGTTTGCAGCAACAGTGGCCACGTGTATTTTTGCTGGCTGTTCTCCACTTGTGTGGGCTAGAAAGTGAAGCTGGCTTGTTCTGAGGTTCTTTTCAGTTCAGCAAGTAGAAGACCAGTCAGACCCAATCTTGTGATTGCTTAGGCTTCTCAGCAACTTTTAAATTCTATTCCTTCCCCCATCCTTTTCTGGTTTTCAATTTTTTAATGTTCAACTTTTAATTATTTCATTTACTCCATCTAGACATTTTATGTGTCATTTTAGAAACAAAAAACATTTCTTCAGTACTTTGATAAATTCCAAATTAGAAAGGAATTCCTTTCTGTGAGGAGTGTCAAGGTACTGTATTCTTTCTGACTCACAGCAGTTATCATTATCTGCTGGTTGCTGGTTCTTCACAATAAATCATTTATCTTTCCCTGTCAAATTGTGCTTTTCTAGTACAGCATTTATTCTCCAGAATTAAGATAATATTATGAGGAGGGCACTGCGGGGGTCATTACTGCAGAACAGGTCAAAAGAGAGAAAGGATAAATTACATCAAGGGTTTATCCAATCTCACATCCTGTTTCCCACAATGGCCAACCAGTGCTTATGGAAAGGCAAAACCAGGAGATGAAGGAAAAAAAACCCTATCTTCCTCTAGCTTCTAGAATTCAATAGTTAAATATTGTATGGTTCTGCAGAAAATGTATAGCTATCATGATTAGTAGCTTATCTGATTTCCTCCTCAATCCTGTTGATGACCATCAAATTTCACATAAATTGAATTTAGGAAATATGGGTATGATATATTTTTTTTAATGCATGATCTTTCTCTAATAGTTGGAAATAAAGGGTTCATTTCTTATGTATTTCACACTTCAAGTCCTGCATAACAATTATGATCTTACACTTCCCCTTTTTGATGGATACAGTTGGGGAATACTGCTTATAAATTAAACACTGATTACGCAGAGGAAATGTAATCAAGAAACTATAAAATCTAAGTGTACTGAAAACGTAGTGTTCTAAAGAATGTATCAAAACACATGTTCAATAATTCATATATATTTCACTGTTTATACAGAAACATAGTCTACTAACTACTATCTTTTGGCTTACTTTTACAACAAACTTCTCTTTCTGATAGCTATTATGGACAAGTGGGAAATAGAGTAAAATCATCAACTGCAGTATTACATATCCGTTTGTTCTCAGACTTAAGAGTGGTCAAATATATAGGACACAAGAGAACTGTAATGAAAATTAGTGTCGTACATGGGGAAAGAGACTACTCTGTTGTATGTCACTACTGGGGAAGATGCCAAGAGGAAGAGACTGAATAGAACTCTCCAGTTGTTGGTATAATTACAGATTTTTTTTCCTGTGTTACAGTTCTCCTGCCTCTAAAGGAAGGATCTTGCTTAAATGAAACAGAGATTGGCAGATATATATGTCTGTAGTCTGCATTAAGCAATCACTTGAAGTTACTGTGATCTTGAGGCTTGGATCTTGAGGCCCCATTGCTTAATTAGAAGGATCTTTATGCACTCAAGAAGAGAGATCACACAATTTGACATATTTACTTCATAGCAACTCCATATGTTACGGCCCATATAGCTACTGTAGATGAGTTCTCAGCCTTGAGAAGCTGCTCTTTAGGGTGTACAGAAGCTCCAAACAAATGGTTGAGAGGTTAAGGAGTTGGTTTTGCAAATAGCACTCACAGTTTAAAATCAAAGTCATTAAAACATTGAAAAAAATGGTATTGGGCAGAATTCAAAATAGTGTGAAGGAACTAGAGGAGGGGAAAGGACAATCAGGTGGAGCCTTTTGGAGAGAAGATTACTGAGCATCCTTCCTCTCTAATTTCGCATGTCTTCACTTAATATGTTAGTATAGCCTTAGAAATTTAGTTGAAATGAATGTATTCGCCTCAGGCCAAAAGATATATTTGCCAAAATTAATTATTTGAATCATAAAGTCTTAAGTATGTGAATGCATATAAAGTAGAATTTATTCATTTGAAATGTTTCCCCTGTATTACTATATAAATTAGTCCAAACACCTAACATCATGAACAGTAAAGCATCAACATAAACTGTAACATCTTTTAAAAAGTACTAACAGCAGAACAGAAACAGACAATATAGTAATTTCAGTCAAATCAGCAAAATCCGATATTGTTAGCAGAAAACAGATAATTGATACAAAAAAAAAAACAGGAAGCAGAGAATCAGCTGAGAGTTGTGCTAAACAGCCACATTTTCTATTACCTGTAGGGCTTAAGGGCTTTAAAGGTAAGCAGTAACACCTTGGATTGGCTGTGGAAATCAAGAACCAGCGAGTATAGATCATCGTACAGTATACTCAAACATTTGCTAATCTTGTTAAACTGCTTCTCACTCCAGCCAGGGCTCTGTGTTTGTCTTTTTTTAAAATGAAGTTGTGTTATTGTTTATGAGGATGAGCAAAAACTTAGTCTCATCTGCGTCCACATCCCTGCTTGAGAAAATTTTATCTTTCTTCTGAACTGTATTATTAATAGAGGGCTTCATATTCCCTATGATGTTTTATCAGAACAGAGCCAAATGTGGCTGAGTTTATTTATTATGCGTGGCATTGATAATTGTAGCCATCACATAATAACATGAACATGTGACACTGAGTTAAACTGCTCAAAGTTTAAAACTGGATTCATATCTGAATTCCGATATTGTCTAGTACCTACTTTTGTGTATACAGTATTAATCTCTTTCTGGATTCATTTAACACAAATACATGGTGAAATCTGAACACAAGTTACAAATACCATGGTATTGAAGACAGTAACTTCAAGATAATTATTTGAACTCATAATTATGAAGTGTACACTGCATTTGCAGAAAGCAAAGAACATTGAGGAATACTCATACTGTAGAGCTATTGAAGCTGTTTTCCAGTTACATCTCATTCTCTCTCCAGAAAATTGAATATTCTGCTGGAATACATAGAATTCCAATTGGAAGGGGAAATGTGGAGAACCCTGGTGTGTGTGCAGAAGCACTCAGGCATGTGCATCCCTTTAAATCCTGACAATTGTACTGATTCTCTCTCCTGGTTAGCTGAGCTCGCATCACATTTATATATAGGATACATTTTTTTTACCATTCTTCCAATAAAATAATTCGCTGTAATATTGAACCCTCAGTATTACTAAGAATTTTACACTTGTAATGTATTCAAAGTAAATGTGAAAACTTCACCATTTCAATTCTTTTCTCTCCTCACAGTTCAGATTGGAATAAAATCAAAGAAATGAATGCACTATAATTTTATTGCAAGTTAAAATGTATGATGTATCTTCTGCATCTCTTTCTAATCCTCCGAGCTTCTCTCTGTATACGATATAGGGTTACATTCCGAAAAGCAAATGGGAGATGGATACTTCTGAAGCAAAACTAGGTGGGTATTTAATTTCATTTTTAAAATAATCTTATAAAAACACCGTTTGCAAAAACTGCTGTGATCATCTGTCTAAAACAAAATTATAGGAATTGAGTTGGGCATTTTGTTGTTGCTCAATAGTATGTGGTTTTTCTTTTGCAGCTGCCAAACACGCATAATCAAATCCTTTAGGTTATAACTCTGTGCGTAACTTGTGTGATACTGTTAACTTTATACTGACTATGCTTGCAATATTTTATGTTTCATCCAGAATTGCCAAAGAGAATAAGAACAAATGTGGATTCTTATTTACATTGTCCATATATTTATACTATAGAGTTTGGTTAGTCTGTGTGCATTGTTCAGCATTAGCTCTTGTTTGAGTCAGAAAGAAACCACTGGCTTTTTTAAAATGTTGTTAATGGGATATAGTCATTGTGAGATTGCATAATGCTAGAGAAATTTCAGTGTTTCTGAGAAAGAAGATACGGAATACCAGACTCCATCTTTATTCCGTCCTACATTTATTTTCAGCAGTCTTCCATTATAGTATGCTATTGTATTACAGGCCATTGCTATGCAACTATAATTTGAGTCACAAGCCATAGGTATATACTTCCTAACTAGCTATGACTATTCAAATCAGTGAAAGAAAGTGATTCATTTTAAACCCATGATGAAGGATAACTTTTTTCATAGCATATATGAAATTTAAAAATTAATAGCACCTTTTTGGTGAAGATTGCCTCTGCAAGGATTAAGAAGATACAATGTGCATATAATGCTGGACTGTGAACATCAAAGACCTCCTATTATACTTTAATTTCTGTATTTCATACTGATAACATGTAATTCAACATCAATCATTGAAGCTTTGTAGCACAAAAGACTGAAGGAAGACTCATTTCTTATCATGAATGCTTGACACCCAGAAATTGAAGGTATTCAAGGCAAATCCAGTTATAGGAGGATAGGTTAATTGACTTAGTGGCTATCTTAATAAGCTGTTGGTATACTTGAAAGCAGTACTTTGGATTGCATTTATTTAGTAGCTTCATTGATTAACTGACAAAGTATATGTAGTGGCCCAGGAGAGATAGAATCAGGATGTTGTTGTATGCTTACTTATTTATTTGCATGCCCTAAAAAATCTTGATGTACAATGAAAACTATGCATCTTTATTATATAGCTTTTTTATCAGTTTTGGCACCTTTTCTGCTGCTGTGTTCTGTTGATGAGCTATTTCAGAACAACATAATAACTAAGGTATACCTAACAACATTGGTCATGTTTGAAAGCTAAGTCGTTTATAGGGAAGGGGGTTGCTACAGAAGGTATGCCTGTTCATAGAATGTACTTCTTAACGCCAAATGTATATTAGGGGTTTGTGATATTTGCATGACATGAAAGAGTATCTTGATGAGTCTGATAGTTTGGCAGTGGGTACATACTGTTCATGTTAAAGTGCACACATTTCAGCACATATAATGAGTTGTTTTGCATCTGACACAATGCATACTACATTTCTCTTTCTCGCATAGTTGTCTATAATCCAAGAATCTTCGCAAGTACACTCACACATTTTTATTCTTTCAGGATCTTATGTACGTTGTTATGCAGTGTTGTCTCATAGTCCCAATGGTTCCATATATTTTCAGCCTTCTAGAATATTTGTGGGTTCAAAGTTGATAAGTGCCCCTGAGGTGATCTTGAGCTATAGAGAAGAAGAGGAATAGTACATTCAGATATTCATAAGGGAAGTGAAGGAACTTTAGCTAAGTGGTGAAGGATATATTTTACAAGCAGACTGTCTCAGATTCTATGCTTGGCATTTCCAGGCAGGATGGAGAAAGAGTCCTGCCTGAAACCCTTGAGAGTCTCTGCTGGTCAGTGTCAACAGTTCTAGGATAGACTGATTAATAGGCTGAGTCAGTAAGAGATAATTTCCTATGTTCCTATGAAGTGGCAAAGAGTTACATATGAGCAAAGGGAGGAGGCTCCAGAAATTCTTTTAATTTGCAGCAGTTGTACTAGAGCCAAATGATGTAGACCAGTTGTCTGATAGGGACACCCAGAATAATGTGTGTGTAGATCACTGGCTTTATGCACTCTATGCTACCGCACGATTTGTTTTCTGAGATTCTTGTAAATACATCAATAGTTTCATAAGAATAATACAAATTGAATCTGACTTGTTTTTGGCTTTTTAAAGCAAGGAAATGGTCTGAACTTTACTATTTAAAAGTATTTGTAACCTAACTTGTATGTTGTGATTTGAAGTAGCATATAGCTGAAGCTAGATGGATATTTAAGTTAGTTAGGTATGGATGAGAGTTTAATTCCTCCCTGTGTCTTCTGGGAGAAGGGTCAGTCTGTGTGGCCTTGGGCACGCTGTACAGTCCCAGAGTGTTTCCGGAATAAGACAACAGGATGCTGCTTCTGATAATGTCTATCTAGAAATCTCTGGAAAGGGTCTCTGTTTATTGGAAGTATCTTGATGGTACATAATTATTATTCATTATAACATCGTCGATTAGAATGTTAAAATGTTCCAATTAAATTATATATAGTAGCACTAGAAAAAAGAATTTAAAACAATTTTAATTAGCCCCATAAGGAGTTTTAAAACAACATTGAAAAGGAAGGATCCTTTAAACCTTTGAAAAGCAGTCTATACAAGTAGTATCTTAAAAATGGTCAAGGTAAGGTCTCTGAGCAATTGTACATAAGTTCTACACCAAAATCAAAAACGGTATATCCTTCATCTGTTGGAAACAGCTTGACAACACATAATTGTTGAAGTGAGGGAGACTCTGAGCAAAGTCTAAAATTTTAGTACTTGGGCAGACATGTATAGACATGGGCAATCCTTCAGCCATCCTTATCTCAAGCCAGTGATGTGAACCTTTATTAGGTGAAAGTCATCAGTCTGAAATGTGCCCACAAGGAAATTGATGGACTGTGAACCTATTACAACCCTGGTGAGATAATGTTTCTTATTGTCACTACCAATTAACAGCCTTGCTACCACACTCTGAAGTTTCTGAACAGAATAATTCTGATATGATACCTTTTTTTAATGGCTGTAGTTGGTATGCTGGTTGGAGTTGTGCTATGAGCCAGGGAGACTACCTGAACATCGATCAATATAAGGCCAGATGTAACATCATTACCAAATAGTTAATTCCTTTATTATTATTATTATTAGACTTTTACCCTGCCCCCCTAGAAAACGTCTACTCGAGGCAGCTTACATGGATAAAAGCACAATATGATAATATAAAAAATCATCTAATACACAATTCTAACACTTATTTCTAAACAGCATATTACCAAGATGACATAACTCAAGAAAGAAAAAATAAGGATCAGCTAATTGACTGGAGGGAAGGCCTGCCTGAAGAGCCAAGTTTTTAAATGGCTTTTGAAAACACCCAGCGAGGGTGCCAGACGAATTTCAGTTGGGACGGTGTTCCATAGCCGAGGGGCCACTGCCGAGAAGGCCCAGTTTCTTGTTTTTTCCTTCTGGGCCTCTCTCAGCGTTAGTCCCCTCAGCTATCTCTGCTAGCTATGTCGAGTGATTCCGGTAGATCTAGGTGGAAGAAGACGATCTGCCAAATACCGAGGTCCAAAACTGTTTAGGGCTTTATACATAATCGTTAACACTTTGAAATCAATGCAGAAACGGATGCGCAACCAGTGCTGAGCAGCCAGAGTGGGGGAGATATGCTGATATTTTCTCACCCCACTAAGAAGCCTGGCTGCCGCATTCTGGACCACTTGAAGTTTCCGCATCAATCTCAAAGGCAGCCCTACATAGAGTGCATTACAATGGTCTAATCTCGAGATTACAAGCACGTGGACTAGAGTAGTGAGGGGGCCATCAAGATAAGGTCACAGCTGGGCAATCAGTGAGGGGGCCCCCATCAAGATAAGGTCACAGCTGGGCAATCCGCCATAGATGAAAATAGGCGGAACGGACCACGGATGCCACCTGGGTTTGCATGGTAAGCGCCGGGTCCAGATGTATACCCAAGCTGTAGACCTCACTCTTTGTGGTAAGGGTCATCCCCCCAAAAGAAAAGGAGTCACCTAGACCGGTAATGGAGGGACCAGCCACCCTCAACACCTCCGTCTTGTCCGGGTTCAGCCTCAACCCATTCAGCTACATCCATTGCAGTACAGTCTCCAGGCAGCACTGAAGGGACAGAACGGCATCCACTGAAGTAGGTGAAAAGGAGATGTAGACCTGTGTGTCATCAGCGGAGAGGGCAACATGACATCCTTTTGCCCACCAAGACTATCCACCCCCACTGATGAATTTGTCGCCCCAGTGCAAGAAAACTAACATTTTTCTATTACCCCTTTCAGAGCTTCCAGAAATTTCATTAGTCTTGTGCCCTGCATGTCGTGTCACCAGTGAAAATTTAATAGCACTTTGGGAATGCTTTTGTCACTGGATGCATGGCATACAGGGCATGTGTGCCTTGTTTATAATTCCAATGTTTGGTGATAAGGCTAACAGCATTTGTAAGAGCTTTAATCGGATCTGCCATCCAGAACAGGCCAAATCCATCTTGGTGATCCTAGACTTTGGCTTTAGCTGGCAATACGTCATTGAACACCAGCCATCAGGAAGCGATGGTGGGAGAAGAGTGTCTGCATTCATTCTGTGTTTGGGGATTTTCCAAAGACATTTGGTTTCCTCTTTGAGAATGAGGATGCTGGACTTCATGGACCTTCTATCTTATCTGACAAAGCTGTTTTTGTGATTTTATATTTTATGAGCTACAGTTCGTTGGCTCTTTTCTAGTCCATTACCAGCTCTGAACAGCTGGTCAGAGCATCCACAGAACTACCTGGAGTAGATGGGAAGGCACAACTCTATATCATTAGCCTGTTGGTATTTTTCTCTGATTTTTCAAATGAATGTTTTTAGAAATTTCAGGTAGATATTAAACAGCATGAGGGACAACATAGAACTTCATGGAACCATGCAGCACACATGCCATAGAGCATCAGAGCAGTTTTTTAGCACGGTCTTGTGAAACTGGTTAATTAGATGACAATGCGGACACAGAACCACAGAACCTTCACTTGCCATCTGAACATTATGGACAATTCAGAACTGTACTATAGTAAACCCCCCTCCTGATGAAGATTATCAGACAAGGCAGCCTAGGACGATGATCAGTCAATCTATTGTTTTATTTTTCATTTTCTCAACGTGAAGTTCAATTAGATGTTGTGATCTCAGCTAGCTTTCTGTATATTTTGCTTTGAGTGCGCTCTGGTCAACATCAAAGAAGTGCTATAATGTGTTGGGTTCTGGATTTGTTGTAAATGCTGCCCATAGTGTGCTCATATTAACATGCATTCTGCTGCATATTTTGCTCTCTACTATCTTTCTGGATACCTGTTTGCAAAGGCAGCAGTATTTCAAAAATATTGCTAATGCTAAATTGTCATGAGTCCATCTGACAACTTTAGTTGTGCAATAAATCTTTTTGTGCATTGATCTCAACATGATGTCAATAGCAACTCAAAACTTGGTGAAAGCAGAAACCAGTTCTGGTACAGATTTAAAGTTTGTCTCTACTCGGTCATTTTATAAAAAACTGCTTCTATGAAATGGTTTATGCTTTGCGGAACATCTTGCCTCTTAAACTGATCTTTGGTTGTTTTACAGTTGCCTAGGTAAGTATTCATTATATATTACACAGTTTGAAAAGTTTCACTTCACATTTCAAAAACATACAGAAAGTAAGGAATGAAACATGGAGAACAAGAAAAAAGAACAAAATATTAAGAAGTTGCTCACTGAACGAGCAGTGATTTCTTTATTACTCATTTTATCTCCCTTTTCTATTTATTACATATGTCATTTCTATATCACTCGAGTGAAATAAGTATCTCACCCAGATGTGCTTGTTAATGCTTTGATTCAGAACCATTTTTTTGCCTGAACTATTACTGAAATAGAAGTAAAGGTGTGCGAGCTGTTGGGAAGGTAGAGCAAACACAACGGGAAGATACATTCCCTTCCTTTCAGTAGCAGCTCTTGAAGTTCTTGATTGACTGCAGCTTTGAAGTGACTTCACATGGAAAAGAAAATCAGCAAAGGACTCATATACACACACATACATACACAGTTTCCATTTGTATACAAAACTGTTTGGATCATTGTTCCAGTTTTTGACATTTCTGGCATGGCTGTCTTCCTTATATCAGATAACGTACTACACCATTAAACCATATAATCTTAAGTGCATATACATTCTTCTTCCTTATGTCACTTTTACACATTAATTGTGCTGTATCAGCAAATGGTTTGTATAATCTCAGAAGATTTCAAACCGTTTACTACAGAATGCTGAAGTTGCTTATTTCTGGCAGTTTTTGCATTTGGCATCTTTCTATGAAACCAGCTATTCATTTGCCCTTAATTAATTCAGTAATCTATTTATGGGATATTTGCCACTTTTCAGGCTTGAAGTATTTTCAGCAGAAAAGTGATATAGGTATGAATTATAGTAACACAGATTATTTCAAGCTGCATATTTCTACTGTGCGATATATATATATATATACATATTTCTGATGTCATTTGCTAAATTAAATATAGCTGCAACACCTACTTCTTATACTGAGAAATAAGTATTAATGATTTGTTAGGGTCTGTCCTACAATCAGAGATCATAGGAGATTTTTGCTAACAGCCATTTAGACAAACTAAAACCTTAAAACACTCTATTTTATAATTTCACATGAATTTACTTGTTGGAAAAAAGTTCACTCTACCACACAACACTGTGAACTTGTGAAAAACACATTTCATGCATACGAAAACTCTTTGTCAGCTTTAATACTCATTTCACTTATTCACATTTATTTGCATGTTGTCTGTAGAAACTACTTCCTAATAATGTTTCCGGAAAGGAAAAAAATAGTTTGCCTGTTACATTTTAAAAAAATATTCATGCAACTGCAATTCTGTACTTTCAGTTGTCATATTGGTGCAAGCAAAGGAAGAAATTTTAAATTACTGTACTCATTGACTTAACCCCATTGCAGCTGATACTCTGCACCACAGTTACATTCCTTGGAGAAACAATAAAATAAAATATGTGGTGGAGCCCCTGATATTTATTTGCTATAGCACTGGCCTAAGATGAACAAAATATTCCTTTCACCCATTGTAGTATATGGACTCTATGTTTATCCAAGATATGAAGGTTTTCTCCATTCTCTCTCTATATATATCTACATATATTACAGACCTAAGGACTGATGCTTCAGACGTGGAAATGGGTTTTTCCTGGGTTTATTCCATTCATCAAGACATCCCAAAACATGCTGATTCCACTGATAACACCATCTTGCCCTTTTGAGAGTATTCCCATGCATCTTATTTGTGTTGGACATTATACACAGTTTTCTTCTTTAACCCTAAGGCTGTATGTTTGTTCTCAGACAAGTTGGATGGATTGCGAACTGGTGCTAAAAGGAAACGTGATTGGGAGGCAATTGCCAGCAGAATGGAAGATTATCTTCAGCTTCCAGATGATTATGATACCCGTGCTTCTGAACCTGGAAAGAAGAGGGTAATAAATGGCACTTCAAATGTAATGTCTCAAAGAGATTCACCTAGGAGGCTTGTAAAAGATCAAGAGTTGTCTGTTTCCGTTCCTTTAGATTTGGTGACACTCAGGTGCTACCGCTTTTATTTTTATTTTCTTTTTTCCTCCCCCCCCTCTCTTTTTTTCTTTCATTTGGTTCCATTTCTGTCGCTGGCAAAACTTTTGAAACTGAGCATCTCTTTTAAAAGACAAAAAAGTAAAGTTTAATATTCTGCACATAAAGGCAAGGAGGACAAAAAGGATCCTATAGAGAGCTGAAGAAACTGAGAATAGAGATGCTTGGTAGATGCACATTTTAGATTAAGGGCACATGTTAAGGATATCCTCTGAAGTTCCTTCGGATTCTTATAACATTTGCTGCTGCTCACAGACCTGTGCCAAATTTTTATGACGATTTAATTCCTGCTGCCATTCTTCCCCAGATCCTATGTTGAGGAGAGGAAAGAATAAGGAAGAACACCTTTGTTGCTTAGGCACTAGATGATGCTCACAAAGACGCTACCCTATGCTGTTATCTTTATTGCCACATTTTGATTTAGGTGGATGATAACCAGATAGAATGCATTTGCATGTGGTGGGATATACAGTACAATAAAATGCATCTTGAATTCATATCCCTTGTCTGGCTCAAGCATCAACTAAATGCAACTGGATCGGAATAAGGTAGCAATTGGACCTGTTGCCATGGCAATGGGAAATTTGCTTCTCAAGCACCTGCTTTGAGAGCAATTTTGTGTTCTTTCAGAAAGGGTTGCAAAATTGCTGAATTCTAGGCAGAAATTATTGTGAAAATTTTGCTTTGGGAATAGTGCTAGCCTCATTATTAATGAACAAAAATACAAATGCATGGTCAATCCATGATATCATCATATGTTCAGAAAAGATACAAAAAGGGGCTGTCATATTATACATTCCTGTTATTGGTGCCTCTTGATAATGAGTTGTTCCTCTTGGAACGATTTCCCTGAGGAAAGATGTATAATTTGTAAGTGACGCTTACATGTTACTGCCAGTGAATGAAGCGTTCCTTGTGAAGACACAGCTGTGTTATATAATTTATAGTGCTGTGGCGCCTCGACTTACGACTAACTCGAAATGGTCGTAAGTTGAAGCACCATTTCCCATTGAAATGCATTGGAACGCAATTAATCTGTTCCAGCAAAAAAATAATAACCCCCCCCCCAAAAAAAATAAAGCACACAGCAAGCCCAGTTGGAAGGCATGGGGCTTTTAAAAAAACAAAAAAACAAACCAAAAATAAACAGCAAAGCAAGCTCCGTCACTGGGGCTTTTTAAAAAAACCAAAAAACAAAACAAAACAGCAAAGCAAGCTCCATCGCTGGGGTCCGTCGCTGGGGCTTTTTAAAAAAACAACAAAAAAAAACAGCAAAGCAAGCTCCATCGCTGGGGCTTTTTTTAAAAAAATCAAAAATAAAGCACACAGCAAACTCTGTCGCTGGGGCTTTAAAAAAAACAAACCAAAAATAAACAGCAAAGCAAGCCCCGAAGTTGCTGGGACTGTTAAAAGAAACCCAAACCAAAAATAAACAAACGAGCAAGCCTCGTCACAAGGCATTGGGCCTGCAAAAAACACACCAAAAAACAAAGAAACATACCACCCCAGCCCAAAACCACGCTGCAAAAACAACATAGCAAAGAAACATAGCACCCCAGCCCAAAACCACGCTGCAAAACCCACCCAGAGCAATTTTTAAAAAGCAGAAAGCAGCACCTTACCAGTCAGCTTCCTCGGATCACACACTCTCTAACTGCTGGGGCGAAAGAGCCAGAAAGAAGCAGCGTCATCGCCACCTACAGTTAGCAATTTGAATTTCCTGCCTTTTCCCCCTGCCTTTTTGTGTTCGTAACTGGAAGCTCCAGCCACAAGTCGAAGCAAAATTTTGCGGCCCGAGCTGGTCATAACTCGAGGTGGTTGTATGTTGGGAAGTTCATAAGTCGAAAATTATTGTTCAGTAACATTTATGTGAGGACAAGTGAATAATACAAAAGCAAGTTCTTTCCTGGGAAATTATTGTTCAGTAACATTTATGTGAGGAATATGCACTGATGTAGGACAGTACGTAAAAGAAAGCAAAGTAGTGTGTTTGCATCATTGTCTGGCACTTCTTCCCCTAAGAAAAAAGCCATTATCTGACTTCCAAAATTACAGAGCTGAAAGTAGGCCAAGGCAAAGCTTTGTCCACCTGTCAGCCAATATAGTATTCAACTTTAAAGAGTTACCATTCCTTTTCTAAATGATCTGAAATCTTTGCCGAACCGAAAACTGAATTTTTAAAAAAAGTTTCAGTTCCTGAAATGAATTTCATCCTGGCGGTGTATTCTTTGTAGGTGAGGTGGGCAGACCTTGAAGAGAAAAAAGATGCAGACCGAAAGAGGGCTATTGGCTTTGTTGTGGGACAAACAGATTGGGAGAAAATCACAGACGAAAGTGGTCATTTTGCTGAGAAAGCCCTCAATCGCACGAAATACATCTGATGCAGTTGTCAAATGCATTATTTTCAAAGAGAAAGGTAAGAACTAAACTTTCCATATCTTTGTGTGCTTCAGAAACTAAAGGCTGTAACTCCTCCTTGGACACTGGGGCATCAGTAGACTTCTCAATTGTGCAAGTGCAGTCTGTACAGTCTGATGTCTAACCTGTATTGTTCATGATGATTAGAAGAAATGGAATAGCACAGTCTAAAACTGTAGCAGTAAGAAGTGTTTCAAGGAACAGCTGACTTTGTCAGCAATGTGGCTCTTTCACCCATCTGCCCAAAACTTGCTCCTTTTTTCTGTAACGGTTGTCTTTTTTTCTGCAGGCCAGTTTGGTGACAACTGAACACAGGGTGGCAAAGGAACTGTCATTCCTCATCATGAGAGTTGTACGATTATTTTCTTTTAAAATTTGGGTGTTTTATTTTCTTGGCAAACCTTCATATTTTAACTGGTGATGTCCAGCACCCCAAGTTATATGGAGTCCTCTTGCATCCAAATGTGAAAGAAAGGGGGGGGAATTTGTGTTAAAATTGGTAGTTTTAAGGTTTTATGTATGCAGTAGAATGGAAGAGTAAGGCCAAGCACATTTCCTCTGCTGTACTGTCACAGAATGTCAGCATAACTGTTGCATTGTTGCTTTGTGGCTGTTTGTTATTTTATACTGTACAAACTTTGTAGTTTATTGTACTAGAAAACAGAACAATAAACATTCACTAATAACTTGGTGAATGATGTAGTTGGCTCTATTTTATGTGTGGTTTTTTTATTTGTGTGAAAGTGTTACGTGGCAGAATGTTGCATGGCCCTGTGGTACTGGGGACACATGAATGAATCCCAGTAACAGTGCAGAATCCTTTTGTTCATAAAGGTGTTCTATATTCTTTTAAACCTCCTCTTCAACACATTTTTATTCTTCACACAAAAAATTAAACATGTACACAATCACCAGAAAGTGTTCAAGTATGCATGGAGAAAATTTACCGTATAATAATTCCTGAGAAGAAGGCTTTGTTTCATGTTGTAGAAAAAGTGATTTGTCTGAGCAACTTTTATGTAGTGCTCCCTCTGTCTTGTGGCATGCACAGGCTCACATGCTTGCTAATGAAGAAATTGGCTTTGTCCTTTCAGAATTCTAATGCACTAATTTTAGGTCGTGAATTGTACGGATGGTGAAGATACTAGATTATCTGAATGGGTCTTAATTAAATCTTCAAAATTGTTGTCTACAGTTTCACTTCAGATGTGGGGGAGGAGCATGGTGTCCTGAAAGTTACTTCAACAACTCTTCTTAGTTGGTCAGTTCATATTACCTTGCAAAGGATTTCTATTCATGAACACATAAGTACTGAAAATGTCATTTTTGTGTATTGAAGGAGGACCACTGTTTCATATTTAATGAATGGCTTGTTATTGTAATGCATTTCTTTACTTGACATTTTCCCAGTCTAATTAATTATGTATAATTTTAGAGGCTGTTCCCAAAATGATATAATAGAATATCTGAATGTTAAAGGCTACAAAAGCTTATTCGTGTGTCTCGTTTCTCATTATAGAGCACTTTGAACCTTTTCTCATTTACCTTTTCATGTTAATTACAAAGAGGCATAGAAAATTGAAATCTTTTAAGCTCATGTAGAGGTCGGGATTACACTCTTACTGTTGTGGAATGAAATATATTATTTGAAGAACAAACGAAGAGCCCCTACGGCTGTTCTCAAAGTTGAATCCTTTGAACAAAGATGCTCAAGAGAATCTCTTGTTTGAACCCCACATGTGGATGTACTTGTCATACCTAAACAATGTGTTAGCCGTGCCCTCCCGCCAATGCAAAAAAGAAAAGCATTGCTTCTGCATTGTACCAACCGTGCAGATTTAATACCAAGTGGAGTAGCTTGGTTTGCTGCTCTTGTATAAGAAAGATCAGAATGATTGGAAATAAAACAAATTTCCAAAGTACAGTACAGAAAATCACTTTGCTTATGAAGGTGTTCTGTACATGTGGTTCTTCATTCAATTGTAAACATGCTGAAATCTGCCCGTTCTTGATACTGCCTCTCATGGTGGGTGCTTATCTTCACTTTTTGCTTCAAGGTTCTTACATCTAATCTGAGATTTCTATGAATTTATAGGAGTGGGTCACAAAAGTAATTATCAAGATTCTCATTTAATCTCATTTGTTCTGTGGATTGCACTTCTGGAATAATCATCACTATAGTACAGTATAACAGAATGAAGTAATGCAGCTTTATATTCTTGAACATTTTGTTTTTATATATAAAAGGAGAAACAGCTTCTGTTAAATTTTGTCTGTTATACTTGAATGCAGCTTGATGTTGGCAGGTTTATATAAAATATCAAATAGGCAAGAGGAAGAACTTAATCACGCAAAATGTCATGCTGTCAGATGTTTCTGGCCTACAACTGTTGAGAGATAAGGGCGTGGTGGTTCAAAAAGAAAATCTGGATAGCCATGGTTGCCTATGCTTATAGTTCCTGAGCTACTCTTTGTGCATTGTTTGTATGTTGGCACAGTATCCATTGGGCTCTTGTTCCCTGGACATATACATTGCTGACACAGTGGAGAGATTATTCTTGTCCAACTAATACGTTTCCGTCAGATGTGAGTTCATTCTGTTCAGATACATCTGGTTATGGATGATTGTACTCCGCTTGTTGGCTTATGATTGTTTGCTCACCATGCTAATACGTTTCCGTCAGACGTGAGTTCATTCTGGTTATGGATGATTGTACTCCACTTGTTGGCTTATGATTGTTTGCTCACCATTGTTTGGTGCCTTTTTGTGCATCCAAGGCTCATGCTATGATTTGCTGCATTAGTTTGAACCAGTGGTGTATTCAGGGAAGGACTTCATATATACTCCTCTGCCCCAATGCCACAGGAAATTTGTTGCACTAGCTGGAATACAGCAATACAGACTATTGTATATTTGTTAAATTCTCTAATGCATAGTTCACTGGTCACCATTGATTATGTTTTAAGTGTACAGTATTTAAAGTGTCCATCTTCCTTTTCTTCTTTTTTATTCTGTGGGCAGCACTTCTGGGAAACCTTCCTCATCAGATGCAATTGTTGTCAGAGAATGAGGGCTACCATATTCATTTTACTTTGTTTTTCTGCATTTACATCTTTTTTGCATTTGAGCAAATATTCAAGGAATATAGTCAAAGCAGAACTATATGCAGTAATAAATGCAAAGGTATCAAAATGATAACAAGCATTTCCTTAAATAAAAAATAACACACAGGAGAAAATAAAAGCACTATACCAGCATAAAATCTGAATGATTTTTGCAGAAGCATAACCTGCAAAAGTTTATTGAAATAAACGAGTCTTTACTGGCCATTCACAATAGTTGTGAAGAGGACAGTCAGATCATTCTTGGGAAGCTGCTTCAAATTTGGGATACAACTTCTGAAAATGCACTTGCTTGGGTACCATTCACCATTTTTCTGAAGTGGAGTCTCACAGTGAAAAAGGTAATGTCTAGCTGATGGACTTTTAGGAACATCTGGATGACCATGATTGAAGAGAGGAGGTTCAATTAGATGGGTATTTGTTCTGGTAAAGCTGTTCTTATGTATGTGGCTGTTGTTGCACACATGATTTGAGCAAAATTCATTCACATAAATTTTACTTTCAAACTCCTGTAGGATCATTTTAACTTAATTAGCTCAATATAATTTACATGAGACACGAAGGAGAAATGGATAATCCAACTTTAAATTGCATGGTGTTCAGCACTACTTATGGCTATGCAATGGCTGAAATCCAGCTGCAGCTAGAATAGTCCCTTTGAATCAGACCCCATCACAGAGGGGTTGGCTGAACAAATTACCACTGATTCAATGGGCCTCCTCTAGTTACAACTTACTGTTAGAATTCAGCCATTATTTATTAACATACTTTGGGCATAGATTCCCTATTTGAACAGGGAGGAACAACATTGTAAATTGAATGGCAATGATCATTTCAGGAAAATTTCATTTCATTTACCTGCAATCCTCCAAGGCATGGGTCCCCAAACTGGGGGTCGTGACTCCCAAAGATGGCACATCGTGTTTTTGGGGGTGGTTTGCAGCAGCTGAGTCCAGCCCCAAAAGAGGAGCCTTATGATAGTAGCAAGAGGCTCAGTGGCACTTCCCCCCCTAGCCCTGTCCCGCTCAGTCCAGTCTGGGAGATAAACAGCTACCTCCATCTGAGAGGAAGTGGAGCTTGATAGAAAGGGGAAGAGAGAAAGCTTGAGAGGAGGTGGTGTCAGGGCTCCTGTTGCCGTATAGAGTGAGAGGGACTCTGAGTCAGCCAAGTGAAGCCACAGGATGCCATGGAGGACCTCAACTGTAGTGTGAACACCTCTGCCAAAGTGTGGAATCTACAAGAACTGGTGAAGAAGCTGGATCAACAAAATAAGCAACTTTGCATTTATAGTGCTTGTGGGGCACCAGGAGGCAGCCTGAAATGGCTTTCCAGTAGTAGCAGAAGTGGAGGATCAAGTTCTTCCATGCTGCTGCTGCTGCTGACCCCACTGCTGCCTCTTGTAGCCCCCATTGCTCTGCTGTCACTTCTCTTCTCCAGCAGCTGCTGGATCTTGAGAACCACTGCCTCAGTCCTAAGGCCAGGCCCGGGCAACCTCTTCCAAGCAAGGAACACGGAGCTGGTGGCAGCGACTTGGCCACCACGGAGGTTGCAGTAGCAGCGAGAGCCGCGGAAGATGAGACAGGCTGGTGAGAAGTAAGGGGGTTGGAGATAATGCTGTCTGGGTTGGGTATGTTTGGTTGACAGAAATATGTAAAACTGACTCTATCAATATTTAAATGTGGACCAGTTCAATTTTCCTTCTCTCTTATGCACATGTTGTGGTGCAGGGAGGAAGGAGAAAGACAGTTGGACATGTCACTTTCTGCATCCCTATTATTGCTTTAAAAACTATTTCAATATGTTTTCTTTATCCTGTTAAAATGCCTTTTTATGTACATTTTCTGGTGGTGGTTGCAGGTTACTTATTATAAAAGGGGGTCACAACTAAAAAAAATTGGGAAACATTTATTTAAGGGAATTAAACATCTAGTGTTTGATTAACAGTTTGTCTCTGCTTTGTAGAATTCTAGTTGAAAAAAATAAAATATTTATGGATCAAATAATGTGTACAGTAATCTTGTGTGAGTGGAAGCCGCCGCCACTCCATCAGGAGCAATGTACACTCAATTGATTGTTTCAGTGTTACTGTGCTTAGGAGATTAAACATCAGTGGACTTCTTGATCTTTTTATTCTAAAATAAGAGACCCTTGAAAGAAACTACATACTTTCTGCCACTAGCTGTCCTGCTAAAATAGGTAGCATGGGAAAAGATAGGGTTACAGATACTGTCATTGATTGTGGGACACTTCTTAAGGTGAAAGATGAAATGTTTCAATCTATCTTGGAGCACAGCATTTTATAGAGGACTCCCATCTTCTCAGATGGAAGAATGATATCAGCCTCTTCGATATCAATGGCAAAACTGACTTTTGATTAATTATTACAAGTTGGATTACCCCTTCACATGAAAACTGTCAGCATCTGATTAAGGAACTCTGCAGATAAAACTTATGTCTGTATGCTTTTAGGTAAAGGTAAAGATTCCCCTTGACAATTTTTGTCCAGTCGTGTTTGACTCTAGGGGACGGTATTTATCCCCGTTTCCAAGCCATAGAGTCAGCGTTTGTCCGAAGACAATCTTCCGTGGT